TTTTAAAGGAAGAATAATAGTACATATTGCAGTTATTTAAAAAAAAAAAGTCATGATCTTTTTCAGAGACACCAAAATATTTACAGCTGATATCATGTGCTGTCTGGGATTTACTTCAAAATAATTTGGGAGTGGCGGCACAAGTGGAGCTATTATTAAAACAAGATTGATAACTGTTGTAACAAAAGAATTGATAGCTGTTGTAGTTAGGTGATTATTACTTATGGGTTCATTATACTATTCCTTTTAATTTGTATATGTTTGACGATATCCATAATAAATAGTTTTACAGAGAAAAGAGGAAGGGGTAAATTTTGGAGGGCAGAGCTGGAGCCTCACTCACACCTGAATTCCCCACATCCAACCAGACAAATTAATAGCAATGCTTTTAGGCTGAATCCAGGGTCAAAGCTGACAGTTCAGGCTCAGAACTATGGTAACGCCTGAAACACCTGCCTGGCTCACTTATAAGGCCCAAGGCACACACACAGTAGCCTTCAAGAAGTGTTTCTTGAATGAGCAGATGAACACTTGAACATCAAAGTAGCACTACATATGCTCCTCATGATCCGAAATACATTCACTTAGTCACATCCAACCACCTCAAACTCAGCAGGCCTCTGGAAGGTGGTGCTCCATACATCACTATCTCTGCCCCATACCCAGTGCTAAGGAGCCAGGGGTTCCTCACCTGGGCTCAGCCTGATCTTTTTAACCAACCAACCCCCCTTCCCGCCCCCGCCCAACTCTGCCACCTGGGCCTCCTTTTGGTCTCTCTGATTGGCCTATTTCTGCCTTTGCAAGCTGGTCTGTCTGCCTGAAATGCTCTTCCCCCCAGCTCTCTGCATAACTAGTTCCTCACTGTTCACATCTCAGCTCGAATACCCTTTCCTCAGCAGGGTCTTAACCAGCCACACTCTCTCAAGAAAGTTCCCCTGTGATTCTCTATCACTTCTCCACTGCCCCTTTCACAGGTATCACCCTTAATACGTAATTATATATTTAGTTTACTTTAACAAGAACAGCAGCTAACACACTGACTCAGCACTTACCATGTGCCAAGTTCATGCTAAGCGCTTTACAGGGATTATCTCGTTTAACCTTCATCACCACCCCACCAGGTAGGGGCTACTACATTTTACAGATGATGAAATTCAGGACAGAGAGTTTATATGCAGCCATGAAGTAGTAAGCTCTATGCTACACTGATCTCTTAATGTCTTCCCTTGCCCCCACTGACCTCTACCCCCAGACTACGCAGGTCAAGAGAACATCATTCGACAAAGTATCTCAGCTTCTATCGCAGTGCCCGGCATAACAAAGGTGTTCTGTAAGTATATGCTGAATGAATGAAAACATTCAAAGTAATACTGTATGATCTCTCTTTGTACATCTCTAACCCACCTCCTCTTCCCCACAAGTCCCTAGCACAGGACCCAGCTCCCAGAAGGTACTCAACACATTTGTCAGAGAAACACTCAGAGCTTTAGGACCACCCAGCTCTGTCCCCTCCATTCACCAAAGGAGTAGGATCTCTCCAGGTTCTTTCTCCTACCTCTGAGAAGAGACAATCAAGCAAGATGGACAATGGAGGACACACGGGCTTCAGAGGTCCTAAGAGACCGAGTTCTAGCAGCAGAAGAGGTCAGTAGCAGATGCCCTGCTGGAATGGAATCCAGGGAGGAAGGCTAGGGTGTGGTGGAGGGTCAAAACTTGTCCTACCTTGCAGAACAAATAAACACCCTTCTCCCAAAGTCATGAGCCTTCTGGGAACCTTCCAACACCTGAAACATGTTATCTGATAATGGACCACAGGCTTCCTTGGTCTCCCCTTCCCGCCTCCCTCTCCCTTTCCCTCCTCCCCCTTCCCCTGGAGATGGGGAGGCAAAAACACCCAGCAACAAAGGTCTAGAGGCCAGGCCTCTGATGTCACCTTCAGAAGCACAGAAGGCCTTTCTGTAGAGGACAACTGGGGTTTCTGGTCATTCCTTCGTGCTTCTGGTTATCCCCAGGCCCTGAAACTCCTGAGCATCTCCCGCATACAGAGTCCCAAGAATCCCAAACTCTGTGTCAAGAAACTTCTAGGAAAGCAGCACAAACACCACAGGAGCTGTAACTGGATGGAGGGAACAACATATAGCCAAGCATGGCCACAAACAGGTTCTAAGATGGGATGGTACTGGGGCTGGGCCTTGAAGGGTGGGAATCACTCAGCTTTATGGGGACAAGAAGGAAGCAGAGGGAATGGCAGGTGCAAGTAATACTGAAAACAAGAGCTAACATTTACCAGCACTTCCTCTGTGCTTTGTACTGGGCTAAGTGTTTTACATGTAATAAGCTTGTTGACATCTCACAGTCTTATGAGATGGTGCTGTGAATATCCCAGACGAAGAACTCAAGGCCCAGAGATGTTAAATAACTCGTCTATGGTAATCCAGTAATTGGCAGGGCTGGGATTCAAACTCAGATGTGTCTAACTCCAAAGTCTGCCACACTATGTATATACCAAGAGCTGGGGGAATGGCTTGGGTCAGGGAAAGGAGTATGTGTGAAAGACCAAGGGAATCCCTGAATGCCACACTAAAGGTCTGGATAATGATCCACAATGGGGGACCATGTGCTCAGCAATGCTGTAGGAAGAATGGCCTAACTTGTTTATGGAGGAGGATGGAAGGTCTGTTGGGAAGATGGCAACCCCGTGCCCCTAGAAGCTCTACGGGGTGGGGGTTGGGGGGAGTAGGTAGCAGCAAGAGTGAAGAAAGCCTAGAAGAGACACAAATTTACCCAACACCAATTGATAATCAATAGAGTTCATCCTCAGATTTAAGCAAATAAAGATCTTCCTCCAGTCCCAGTCAGTCCACAAAACTCACATTAAGTGCCAACTGTGTGCCAGGCCCTGCCCCAGGCAGCCTCCGTCTGTTTTTCCTCCTTTTCCCACAGTGAGGACAAACAAGTTGCTGGCAGGCTCCTACAACTTAGCATCCTCAAGTGCTCTCCTCTCCTTCCTCACCTCCACTCTCATAACAGAAGTGAACAACTTTTTTCACACATTTATGGTAAAATCATAGAGTCCACAACTGTATTTTAACTTCAATGAGTTTTAAATTTTAAAGGTATTTATTTTCACGTTACTGATCTAGTTTGCAAGGTAAACAATAACTGATTTTTTTTATTGAACTCACTTTTTTTGTGAGGAAGATCAGCCCTGAGCTAACATCCAATGCCAATCCTCCTCTTTTTTTTTTGCTGAGGAAGACTGGCCCTGAGCTAACATTGGTGCCCATCTTCCTCTACTTTATATGGGACGCTGCCACAGCATGGCTTAACAAGCGACGCACCCTGGGCGAGCGCACACACTTAACCACTTGCGCCACAGGGCTGGCCCCTCATTGAGCTAGCTCACTTTTAACCTCAAGTTTTTGATGAGGAAAATTTTCTCTAGAGGGCGAATCATCTGGCCATCTTTCCCCTCCAGCTACCAACCACAAGGCTAGCTCAAGGGTACCACTTGGGGGTCAGGAATGCGAACTCACATCCCAGCTACTGTGCCCTTCACTACCACCTGGGAGAGGAGCAGGCGCGAAGACTGTAATCAGGGACATCTCTAATTCAGTAAATTTGATGCAGCTGTGTCTCAGGGCGTCGATCCTACTTTGAAGCTGTGTGTGCTGAGAAGAATGGGGAACTCGGCTTCTTGACCATTCTTGCGCTAAGAAACCATGTCCCAACAGGCATCCTTCTCGCTGAGGGGGTGGAACTTATTGGCCAAATACGTGTGTATGAACTTCCAGACTTGTAGGGCCACTCCTTGCTCTCCCAAACACTGCCTCTGCTCAGCCAGTGGTTCGGTGATGGGAGGAAACTCTCACTAAGCTGGGTCAGCAATTCCCCAGGAAGGCTCACCCCGCCGCCCAGCGCGAAGACACAATGACCCCAAAGGCCTTGGTGTACGTGTTAGAGGGAAGTGGAGACTTTTCCGCTTAGCTTTCCTACGCGTTGCCACGGGACAGCTCTCCGGCTGCATTAGGGTAAAGAGGTTTGTACACGCACGTCTCACGCCGACCAACCACTCCCGAGCGACCTTCCCTTCCAAACTACACGGCGGGCATAACCGGGGAAGAGGCGGCCCCAGTAGAGGCGAACCACTGCGGTTCTTAAAGCCTTGGTTGCGTTTCGGCCCGCGCCGAGTCGCAGCTGGAGGCAGATTCCCTTCCGGCGCGCCCGCCATCAGCCCCTGGATTCCCAGAGAGCCCTCTGAGGCCCTTCGAGAACCCCCGCCTCCGGCTTCCATGCCCCGACCTCGGAACCCTCAGGCCCGGGCCAGCCTCCTAGCCGGCCTCTCAAGGCCCGGCAGCCCGGCCCCGCGGCTCACCCTCGAGCGTCTCGCACTGCACCAGGTTGAGGTAGTCCGCCTGGCTGAGCACCCCGGCCTTTAGGCCGCGCACCAGTCCCTCCAGGTAGCCATTGTCCACGTTGAAGTAAAGCTCCGGGAAGAACGACATGGCTACGGCTGGGGCGGCGGGACCGGAGAACCCCGACCGGCCGGCACGCAGCACGACTCCCAGATCAGCTGACTAGGCGCCTGCAGCAAACTGTCAACCGCGTCAGGTGGCACACATACGCCTCACGTGACCACAACGGGGCGGGACCCTGAACCGCTCCCAGCTTCCGGGTGGTTCCTAGCCGAAGCGTTGCGCAGGTGTGGGATGAGGCCGGCCGTCTGGCGCCTGCGCGCTGAGGGAAGGAGCGCCGCCTGCGTCATGGCTTGAGCGGCTTGGAGTGTACGAGGCTAGCCGCGTGGTGGCGCCCGTGGCTGCTGGGATTTCTTTGGGCCCTGTCTCTAGCTTTCCCGGATTTGCTGCACCTGGCACTGTGGGGGCCGACGGAGTAAAGATGGGAGTGGGCGGTGCTGCTTATACTTGGAAATATTCCAGACTGAGTCAGCCTTCTCCCGAGGGGAGCTGAGGACCTGTGAGGGGCGGGCTTCTCTTGGGCGGGGTCACACGTCGAGTTAGCTGCAAGCAGGTCCTGAAGCCTAACGCTTGTTCGCCAGCCAGGAGTGACAGCCCCTATGCCGCGCTGCGCCCTCCACTTCCCCGCATTTATTGTACAGGATTCTCGACGGCTGAAGTGCCGCCCTCCTCTGCTTCTGCCAACGGCGCCTGGCGCCCTAAGAGCGTGCATGTAAGTAACTCAGATGATAGGGTAGCGGAGGCCCTGGGGTAGGGGTGTATGTGTGGTTTCTTGGGTTGGTTGGCACCCCCACCCCTGCTGTGATCTCCGCCCTCCGACGGCCACGTTCGAAATAACGCCACAGCCTTGAGGTTGGTCCTATCTTTTATTCGCGCCCCCCTGTCCCAGCCCCGACCCCAACCCCGACGTCGGCCAGCTAGGTACGGCTGCAAGGGTTCATGGCAGTACCCAGCTTGCGGCAGTAGCAGAAGGCGTTGAAAAAACGGCAGTAGCACGTGGCACATGGGTCACAGCATGGTACCTGGTGTCCCAGACAGGACTCGTGCAGACGTACGCAGCGACGCGGGGAGCGCTGCTCGCGGCCTTCCGGGTCTAACACCTACGGAGGTGGGGGAGCAGAAACATAGGCATGGGCCTCCGAAGGCAGGTCCAGGGACCTCACCTGCCTCAATGCAGGCAGGATGGTAGTGGAGCATGAGGAGGGATGGTCTGCAGTGTCACCCTAGGTGAGGGGGTCACCAGGTGGAGAAAGAGGATGATACCTGATGCCCCCTCCCAAGGCCTGTGGCCTCACTTCTTTCTCTGAGAAGTTACCTCAGCCAAGGTCTCAGCCTCCTGCAGCAGAGCCTCTTTTGCCTGTTTTGCAGATGTCTTCCTCAGCGGGGGCCGCAGGCCCAGGCCTAGGACAGATGATGTGAGGGCAGAACTCGCATGCACAAAACACCCACCTCCCAGGCCTGGGATTGGGAAGGAGGGGAAGGAGGGCTCATACCAGGTAGGATAGTTTGTGGCCAGAGGGTGTCCAGGCCACACCCAGCCCCAACCCTGCCCACACTGACCTGGCAGCTCTGGGATCAGGGCCTGGTCAGTCCTGATGCCCTCCAGGGGGACCAAGCCCATCTGGGCCCCCTGCATAGCAGGCAGTGTCAGCAGCAGGGCACAGCTCAGCAGCACTGCGGTCAGCATGGCCTGGCTCAGCAGGAAGACCCACCATGTAATCCCTCCTCATCCTTGGAGCAGCTTCTAGGTGCCCCACCCCAGAGAGAGGCCCCCCAGAGAGTAAGAATCTCTGCCCAACCTGAGGACTTACCTCTGCTTGCTGGATCCTTGCCTCGAGAGTTCCTGGCCACCCTATGCCCTCAGCTTATATGGCAGGGTCTAATAAAGGGCCCACACGTGACTGCTCCCTGCAGCCAGGGCCTTGAGGGGCCCTCCCCAGAGGGTGGGGTACAGTTTAGGCCTCTCCCCGTGTAACCTGGGCTTTTGGGTGCTCTACAAGAGGGTGCCCATCTCCAATTTTGCGTGAGGTCTCCAGGAGCCAATCAAACTTTGGGAACAAAATGGGGTGCCCAGGGCCCCCACATTTCTGCAGGACAGGGACCTGGGGGAGGGGCCGCTGGAGCTATTAGCAATAACAAGGCAGGCAGCCCTGAGAGCTTAATTTAATTTGTGGCCCCGGAGATGCTAACTCAGACCCTACATGGCATGTTGTTTGCTTTGCTTCCAGGAACTTGGGTCAGGGGCATTGAAGGGGGTGATGGGCCAGTGGCCAGAATGGGGTGGCGGTGGGGTGCAGACCTAGACCTGGGTTTTTTGGGGGGAGAAAGTGGAGAGGAAAAGCCCACCTAGCCAAAACTAGGCCCTCCTGCCTCCATCCTTGGCCCAGCCTCCCCCTCCCTCCTCCCTCCAGGCTTCTCCAAGACCCCCACCCCTGCTCCTGCCCCTAAAACCCTTTCTGCCTGGGGTTCCTGGAAGCCAAAGAGGCAGCACAGACTGTTCTCTGGGTGGGCGAGCAGCTTCAAAGTAAAAAGCTTTCAGGCCGCCTGCCTCATTAGTGCTAATGGCTGCTCCCTTCCGCCCTGCGTTGTCAGGCCTCTGCCCACGCCTGGTCTCATCAGCACGAGGCCAGAGTGAGGACTGCCCTTCTGTGGAGATGGTAGGACACACAGGATCCCACCTGCCCCTGCCTTCCTGCATCCTTCTGGAGGGCTATTTATCACACACTTGCCCACCGGGGAAAGGGATGCAGGCTGAATCAGCCTCAAAGCCTCAATGTACAAACTGGGCTGGCCCAAGGCAGCGGGAAGAGGATGAAGAGGTTGTTGGGTTTGTGGCCTAGGTTCACACAGGCTATTCTGACCAGGAGGAAGCCTGAGAAAGTCCTCTCAGCAGCGAGTGGAAACCATAGGTTGTTACCTGGCAGACTTTGGCCTGGTGTCAGCACCAACCATTGGTGTTGGGGTGTGGGGCGCTCACCAACAATTGGTGTGTGGGGAGGAGGCACTCTGCAGAGGGTGGGCCTGTGGCAGCTTCTTCCACATATGGGCACTGATATCTGTTCTGGGATCAGGCTGGTATTGGGCTCGCTGGTGGTTGGTTCAGGGTAACAATTCTAAGAGCTCAGAGGGTCGCATCCTACTGCCCAGGGGGAGCAGACGGGGGAGTCAGAGAAAGCCTTTCTGAGGGGGTGGTCCCTGAATAGTCCAGCAAAGGGCCAGTACCTGTTTCTACCCCAAGAATGGTACTGGCTGTTTTGGTGACTCTGCCACAAAGCAGACCTGCTATCAAGCCTCCCTGGCAGCTGACATTGACCTTTCTCTCCCAGAGGCTATAGCTAGGCCCAGTAGCCCGCCCCATGGCTTGCTCTTCTCTGAGTGGTTGCAGGGTGAAGGTTTCAGGCACCCAGGTGTGTCCCCATCATGGTTGGGCCACTTGGGGTTCAGGAAAGGCAGTACATCAAATGTTCCCCAAATCCTTGTGCCCTAGACCCATCCTTGGAGATTCTGGCTGAAGGGATGGTGGTGGGGAGCAGGGACTGCATGTAGATTTTGGAAAGATGTCCTGGGTGAGTTGAGGTGGGGGCTCTGGGCACCTGGCTGGGCCTGGTCAGCACCCATGCTAAGGACAGCTCTTCATATTCTGGGTGGGGTGCCCTCCTCCCACCCAGGCACTCAGTGTGTTTGCTCACCTACAGAGCAGTGGCTATCTTTAGCTGGGTGTTTGCACACAGGTGTATCAGCCCCACGAACAGTGATGGACGGGGACTGAGGCATTCACAGGGGCAGCCCAGGTCCCTGGTCAGATCCAGTGGAGGAGACAGTCAAGAAAATGAACCATCAAAACACAGTGGGATGGGGGCCTGCTGGTGGCGTAGTGGTTAAGTTTGCGTGCTCTGCTTTGGTGGCCCAGGGTTCACAGGATCTAATCCCGGGCGCAGACTGATGCACCGCTCATTAAGCCATGCTGTGGTGGCATCCCCACATACAAACTGGAGGAAGATGGGCACAGATGTTACGTCAGGGCCAATCTTCCTCAGCAAAAAGGAGGATTGGCAAGAGACGTTAGCTCATGGCCAGTCTTCCTCACCAAAAAAAAACAAAAACACAGTGGGGTGATGAGAGAAATATAAACATTGGATATTTGATGGCATTAAGGAATACTTGTTAATTTTTTTAGTTGTGATAATAGTATTGTAGTTATGCTTTTTTTTAAAAAGAGCACTCATATTTTAGAGAAACATAATGAAATATTTACTGATAAAATGGTATGAAGTCTGGGATTTGCTTCAAAACAATCCGAGATAGAGAGGATAGTGAGAGGTGATATAGATGAAACAAAATTGTTCATGAGTTGGTAATTGTTGAAACTGGGCGATGGATACATGAGCTTCATTATCCTACTACTGCTACTTTGTATATGTTCAAAATTTTCCATAATAAAAATTTAAAACAAAAGAAAATTTTAAAAATGCAGTGGGATAAGTGGTTTGATAGAGGAATGCCCCAGGGGCATGTGGGACCAGGATGGGCACCTACCTGAGCTGAGGGAAGGGGCAAGAAGTTGGCTAGCGAAGGCTTCCTGGGGGAGGAGACCTTTACTCAGTCATGAAGCTTGAATAGGAGTTGGGGAGATGCCAGGCAAGGGACAGTGTAAGTTCCCTGGACCCGTAGTGGCACATGGTTTACCAAGTTGCCTTGTTATACAGCTTAACCCTGGCACAGGCTCTGCCCCAAGCCCAGTTCCTGCCCGAAGGGACCCAGCCAGGTAAACAGTCAGTAGACTCGTTTCTCTCACCTGAGATCAGGGAGTCAGTTACCCCTAGAGTAGATTCAGACAGTGAGTCAGTCAGCAAACATCTGTAGCCACCTTCACATTGTCCAACTGCTGTGAGTGTGCACAGGCTCAGACCATAGCTACGGGAGCCCAGCGGCTCGTGCCACCCATAAACCCAAGTGGAGTCCAGAGGAGGAAATCAACCTTTATTTATGCCCTTTCCCACCCCATCCTCCTTATGCCCTCTAGCGCAGTGTCACCAGCTCCCACTACTACTGAATTGGCCTGAAATGTGGCCTGTGAGTTTTCTTGTTACGGCTCTCTCCTCTCTCTATATATATAGATATAGATATAGATATAGATATCTAAAGAGAATTTTCCATTGGTTTATCAAATTTTATTAGTTTTTGCAAATAACCAATCTTTGGCTTGATTTATGAAGTATCATTACAATTAGGTTTCTGTCTTTCTGTCATTTTCCCTTTCCTTGGGTTTGTCGATTCTTACGTTTATCTTTCCTCCAGATGAACACAGTTGCCTACCTCTAGTAGTTTATAAAAGGCGCCTCGGGAGCCCGTGTCATCTGCTGATGAATACAAACATTGTGTGCGTGATTTTACTGGTCAGGAACTGGCCTGATGTTCCCAGGACAATGCTTGTTGGCAGAAGCAGAAATGCATGGCATGTTCTGGGTGGAGGATTTGGGGGACTTGGGGAGATGCAGAGCCTACTTCGTGAGGCTGGGTACTTCCGAACGTAGGGACCCTGACTTCAGGAAGAAGAAAGGGGTAAATGTGGATGCTGTGTGCCAGAGACCGAGTGTGAGGACAGAGAGGGGTGCTGGAACACTGCTCCTGTCCTCTTCTTTTTCTTCCTGCACAGTACTCCTCAACCCCAAGCATGCTGTTCCTGATTTGTCCAGAAGGGGGCAGCAGAGCCACAAGCACAAATGGGCTCTCCCAATCCAGTTTCATTCTGAAACCCAGATCCCCACTTAGCGCACTGTCCCTGCCCCTATGGCTCATCTGTAGGACTTCCAAAAGGCAGAGGTTGCCTGGAGAGGCGTGGTCCCCTCTGTCATCCAGGGAGAAGAGCAGGATGGATGAGGGTTATTTCAGGCTGGTGTCTGGAGCCCTCAGCTGAAGGGGTCCCACTGCGATCAGGAGCTCCTAGATGGGAAAGTCATGTTTGTTGCATGAATGCCAGCACTTGCCATTCTCCCATTCATTCGAGAACTATTTATTGAGTGCATGCTACCTGCCTAGCACTATGCCCAGGCATCTAGACTATGAGGCTAGGTCAGAGGCCATGGTGACCTGAAGCTCCTGATTCTGGTGTCAGCCAGGCTTCCTGGGCTTGCCTGTTGCCAATGAGAGTGTAGGGTAGAGTCAAGCCAGGGTGTGGAGTGAAGTGCGGGGCCAGGTGGTGGATGGAACACCTGTTCCCCTCAGGCATTGCTCTAACTCCCTCTCCCCCTCCCTCCACAGGCCTCCCTTTCAGTGCTGGAAGTGTGCCCTTTATTGGGGTCCCCAGAACAGCTGAGCTGTGGCTCGAGTGCTCAGATGAAACTTCACAAAAGGCCCAGGCATGACAAAGACAAACAGGCCTAGCCAATCTGACTCATGAGATGTGGCTTGCAATCTGGACGCATGGGCCCTTCCAAGGTGGCAAAGGCCATCCTAAAACTCCTATGCCAGCCCCTTCTGAAGACATCTACACCCCAGAATATCCAAATCCCGAGACACCTGGAGAGGTAGCCAGTCCTTCCTCCCACCTGCCAGGTCCCACTTTTCTGTGTGAAATCTTTTTCCGGAGGTGTTGCAGCACCCTACCTTCTGCCTCAGGGTGAGTCCTCACCCTCAACACCTTCAAAACAGGACATCAGCCCCCACACTCACAGAAATCCCACACAAAGTGGTGAGCAGCTTGTCCCATTCCAGGTGATGAGAGGACCTTTGAGTATAACAGGATTTCTGCGGAAGTGTAATATGAGTCCCCAGCAACCCTCCACAGAGGCATGGCACTGTTGGGCTAGGGAGGGAGCACCCATCATGTTCCCTGCACTGTTCCTAATCCATCTCCATGGAAGGAGCAACCCGACTCCCTGAGGATGTTCAGTGGCTCAGCTAGAACCCCAGGAACAAAGGTGTTTGCACAACAGGAACCATTGAACTACCTGGAAATGAGTCTTAACCTAGAAATAGTTCTTTCTGCTAGAGACCCAGGAGCTCTCCAGCCTGCTCACCCCTGCCATTCAGGTTCTGTGCAGGTAAGAACAGAGGCTGCAGGAACTCTGGACATAAGCAAGGAGATGCTGCCTAGGGCGCTTGGCACAGGGGTGAGTTGACACCTGGCTCGACAGGTTCAGGGTGAGCCCAGGGTCAGCTTGAGAAAGCAGAGAAAGGTATGGCACCTCCAAGGGTTTTCTGGACTCCCTCCTTTCTGCTTTTACTCCTTCCCATTCTGTATGCCTCCAGCCACAAAGAAGGCCTGGGAGGTGGAGGTATGGGAACTGGGAAGGGGTTGAGTCCTGTGGGGGAGCGGTCATCTGGGGGCATTGGATAGAAAGGATAACCTTTCAGCTTAAACCAGTCCCCCTGGGGCACAGCTGTCACCCAGGCACCAAGCCCCAGCCCAGTATGGGAGAAGGAGCTCACAGGGTGCCCCTCCCCCAGTGGCCCCACTGGCCACTTCCCAATTTTGCTCCTGTAGGCCCTGCATAAACTGTCTCCACGAAGTCCTGGGTAGGGGTCCTCCTCCCCGTCTCTGGCCAAAGCCAGACTTTGTGTCAGGATCTGGCATAGAGGCCAGTTTTCCTCCCTGCCTCATCCCTTTACCTGCTACAAGTTTATCCAATGCTCCACAGCAGGACTCTCATCACATACATTTAACTCTTAGCAGAACATTGGACTAAACATTATCATCCCCATTTTACAGATCAGGAAATTGAGGCTTAGAGGTTGAGTGACTTAGCTTTGATCACTCAGCTAAGAAGGGCTGGCTTGCTTTCCTTTCTTCCTGCTATGGCCCAGAGCATGTTTTAGAGGTGGAGAAGGATGGTGTGTGTGTGTGTGTGCACCCGTGCACTGGGGTGAAGGGTTCAGCAGACACGCTGCCCCACACGCCTCTTGACTGTGGAAACCATTCACCCACCTGCAGAGCTCCCAGGGGATGCACAGACAAAAGCAAGCAGCCACTCCACCCACCCTCAGCTCAGCCCCGGTGAGGCTGTGGGCTCAGTTGGGTGCCAGAGCCGTGCTGAGTGTCCTTATGCTCTTGGACACATTTCTCAGTAATCCATGAATCAAAGAAGAAATCACAAGGGAAACTAGAAAATGTTTCAAACTGAATGATAATGAAATACAATATATCAAAACTTATGGGATGCAGCTAAAGCAATGCAAATATTTAAGAGCGTATATTAGAAAAGAAGAATGGTTGAAAATAAATTATTTGGAGGCAAAAAAAAAGGAAATTATGTGAATTTCTTTAAGTGGGGGGAAGATATCTTCAATAAATGGTGTTGGAGCAAGTAACTATTTTACCTATACCTTGCAGCCTTCACAAGAATTAATTTGAGATGGATGATAAACATAATTGTGAAGATAAAACAATAAAGCTTCTAGAAAAAAACACAGAATGTCTTCATATCTTCATGGAGTAGGCAAAGATTTCTTAAACAAGACACAGAAAGTGGGCCGGCCCTGTGGCTTAGCAGTTAAGTGCGCGCGCTCCTCTACGGGTGGCCGGGGTTCGGATCCCGGGTGCACACTGACGCACTGCTTGTCCAGCCATGCTGAGGCCGCGTCCCACATACAGCAACTAGAAGGATGTGCAGCTATGACGTACAACTTATCTACAGGGGCTTTGGAGGAAAAATAAATAAATTAATAAAAGACACGGAAAGTACTAACCATCCAAGGTTAATAAATTAGACTTCATTAAAATTAACTTCTGGTCATTAATTAAAGATAATTAAGAAATCGAAAAGATAAGCCACAAACTGGGAAGTGAACATTGCAATTCATATACTCAAAAAAGGACTCATGCAGAATATACAAAGAATTCCATAATCATTAAGGAAAAAGGACTTGAACAGGCCCTTCACAAAAGGGGATTTCCAAATGGCTGATAAGCATGGGGAAAGGTGCTCAATATCAATATAAAATTTAACTCATAGAGAAATGTGAATTAAAACCATATTGAGGTACTACTATACACTGACTAGTTTGGCTAAAATTAAAAAGATTGACAATACCAAGTGTTGGCAAGAATCTGAAGTAACTAGAACTGTAAAGAGGTAAATTGGAAAACTGTAGTATTTACTATAACTCCTGCACCTGACCTTCAACCCAGCAGTTCACTCTTTGGTACAAACCCAAGAGAAATGAGTTCAATGTCTACTAAAAAGCATGTGTAGAACATTCTCAGCAACTTTATTCATCATAGCTAAAAACTAGAAACAATCCAAATACCTATCAACAGGAAAATGGATAAATAATGGTATATTCATACAACTGGAAACTACACAGCAATAAAAAAAAAGAATGAGGGACCCGGTGGCATGGTGGTTGAATTCACACGCTCCGCTGCAGTGGCCTGAGGTTCGTGTGTTCGGATCCCGTGCACCGACCTGTACACAGCTCATCAAGCCATGCTGTGGCAGCAACCCACATACAAAACAGAGGAAGATTGGCACTGATGTTAGCTCAGTGACAGTCTTCCTCAAGCAAAAAGAGGAAGACTGGCAACAGATGTTAGCTCAGGGCCAATCTTCCTCACCCCAAAAAAAAAAAAAAAGAGTGAACTGCTATACACAACAACATGGATGAATCTCACAGACAATGTTGAATGAAAGATGCCAGCCTCAGAAGAATAAATACGCTGTGATTCCATTTATATAACATTCAAAACTAGGCAAAACTACAGTAAATGGTGATAGAACTCTGAATATTGGTTAACTCAGGGGGTATTACTGACCGAAGGAGGGGAAAGAGGAAGACTCCTGCGGTGCTGGAGGCGTTTTATATCTTGATCTGGGTGGTGGTTACATGGGTGTCCTTTTCACAGTGGGTTCTTCCCTGACTTTGGACTTTGACATGATTCTTATTCAAACTTGAACCTTTCGCGTTGCACCTCTCCTCAAAGCAACTCTGTGTCATCTGAAAAGAGTTCTTCAGACCATAGACCAAAAATCACCCCTTTGAGGTGGCAGTAGGTGCCGGTGGGTGCCGTCTGGGTCAGTGGCATTGAAACGGTCGTTTCCCCAGCTTTCTGTCCTTCTGTGTGCTTGTCTCTTCTCGTGACACTTGTTTTCTTCCCAGCCCCTGGGGGTTGTCCTCAAGCTGTTGACTTCTGGGATTTCCAGATTTCGCAATGTGGTGCTACTTCTTTTTTGTCTGTAGGTTATTTCACCAGGGGAAAAGACAATAATTCCCTAAAATCCATATGAATGTGAAGAAAAGCAGTATGGTACTGGTTGTTGTTATTTTTTAAAAGCACAAAATAAAAATAGTAAAAGGGAAAAAAAAGCAGTACCAGTGAGATGACATCAGTTGTAATGAACAGAAAGCTTGATTCAAACTGTCTTAAATTATAAAAATAATTTATTGGCTCATATAACTGAAAGAGCCAGAAGTAGGGCTGGTTTCAGATGAAGTTTGATGCAATGCCTCTTGATTTTATAACGGCAGACACAGCTGGTTGCCTTCTTAATACCCATTCCTCCTTCCTCCAAAAAGGAAGCCTACTTTTGTTTGGGTCAGGGCCTAGTTAAGCAAACTAACTTCCTCAGATTCCCTAAGAGTTCGTGGTGTCCCTGGGATACACTGTGACCCATGAGACTTATGCTAAGGGCTTCTGGGAAAGTTGCTTCCTTGGCAGAGGTACCTCTTTTTCATCTTTTCCCTTCAACTTCCTGCCCGGAATGTGAATATAATGCTTAGAGCTGTAGCAGCCAACTTATGGCCATGAGGCAACAGCCTTGAGGATGGACTGACTTGCTAAGAATGGCAGACAAGAAATGTAGACGGTGACTTCAAGTGTTGTAAAGCAGGGGCACCAACCCTGGTCTGCCCTTGGTCTACCTCGTGATATCTGAGGAGATATGAGACAAATGTGAAACAAATATTTATTTAAGCTACTGTTAGATTTTCTCTTTCTTGTAGCTAAACACATTCCCAACTGCTATCTTCAATTTCTTTACATCTCTTTTCCACGTTTTTTGTGGTAAATGTTTCATTCTGAGGCTTGTTTCCTTTGTGAACCCAAACTGGCTTCCCGTAGCTTCTGAGGCCTCCTGCTTCTTTGCTCACATCCTACAGGAGAGAGTCACCTTTGTCCTAGAATTCCCTGGTCTTTGTTCTGGAAATCCCACTAGCATCCACTGCTGAAGGCTGTGGCTGGAGAACTCATGAGGAGTTCCTCTGATCTGGGCAGGGCCTGATGGTCCTCCCCTGACCTTAGCTGAGCCTTTATAGACCCTGAGCATCCCCAAGGTTAGCCTGTGACTTTCACAAAAGTCCTGACCTCCAGACGCCTTGCCCCTCTGTGGCCTTGGGGTAGAATGGGTAACATGGGCCAGCACCCTCTGCCAAAGTCAGGGCCAAAAATCTGCCCTTGGGAGCCAGGTTTGGCTTTTGGCTTGGGCAGGTGTTGAATTTAGGAAAAGTCCCAGCCCAGAAAAAATGATTTTGGGTGTGGGATCTCATTCTTCCTCAGCAGAGCCTTGAAAGTCATGTGTTCAAGGTGTTTGGTTGCTAGGATAGCAGTTGGGCTGTATTTGAGGAGCCGAAAGAGGGTTTAAACTGCAGAGGCATCTGGGTATTGTTACAGTCTTGTCTGAGGTCACATAGCTTGTAAGTGGTGGAGCTGAGAGTCAAACCAAGGAGTCTGACACTCCACTGACCCCCCAACCACAATGCTAAGAAACAATGACACTTGGCATCCTGTTTCTTTTTTTGCTGAGGAAAATTCACCCAGAGCTAACATCTTTTGTGAATCTCCCTCTTTTTGCTTGAGGAAGATTCGCCCTGAGCTAACATATGTGCCAATCTTCCTCTATTTTGTATGCGGGTCGCCGCCACAGCATGGCCCCTGGCGAGTGGTGTAGGTCCATGCCCGGGAACCGAACCTGGGCCACCTTAGGGCAGCACGCCAAACTTAACCACTAGGCCACGAGGCCAGCCCCTTATATTTTTTTAACACAAACCTCTTTCATTGCATTATAAGCACACGGAAATGTTCTTCAATTCCACAAAGAAATATGCTTTCTCCCATTTTCCCTGAAGCACATGGCCCTTTGACCTCTCATTTATTGTCACATTTTTTTCAGAGACACAGGTACAGAAAATTAGTTCTCCACTTCAACATGGGCAATGGTGCAGGAGCAAGACTAAAAGCCATACTTGGACTCAGTATTGGGGAGGTGTGGAGTGCATGCTTGGTCTGAAAGGGGAAGCCACCGATGCCAGGCAGATTGTAGGCCCAATGTTGCCAGAGCTTCAAATTTTTCATGAAAAGCCAGAAAACGGAATTTTTATATGCTGTTTCAAGGTTGGCTCAAAAAAGCATCGTGCAGGTTGTCAGGTTAGATAGTAATAATGGTTGCATCACATCATGAATATACTGAAAAACACTGGACTGTATACTTTAAAATGGTAAATTTTATATTATGTGAGTTTTTTTATCAATAAAAATGTCATTAAAAAAGTCTCCATTTGGGCCGGCCCCGTGGCTTAGCGGTTAAGTGCGTGCGCTCCGCTACTGGCGGCCCGGGTTCGGATCCCGGGCGCGCACTGATGCACTGCTTCTCCGGCCATGCTGAGGCCGCGTCCCACATACAGCAACTAGAAGGATGTGCAGCTATGACATACAACTATCTACTGGGGCTTTGGGGCGGGGGGAAGGAGGAGGATTGGCAATAGATGTTAGCTCAGAGCCGGTCTTCCTCAGCAAAAGGAGGAGGATTAGCATGGATGTTAGCTCAGGGCTGATCTTCCTCACAAAAAAATAAATAAATAAATAAAACTAGATTAAAAAAAAAAAAACAGAAATTAAAAAAAAAAAGTCTCCATTTGACATTCTCAAATGTCTCCTGGGGGACAAAGTCACTCCCAGCTGAGAAACTCTGGTGTAGAGAGTACACTACTTCTGGAGGGGTGCAAGCTGAAGGATTTGGAAGGGAAATGTCTTGTTTGTAACTTACTTTCAAAAAGCCAATGTGGCAAAATGTTAACCATTGGTGAAACTAGGTGACAGACGTGTGGGTTGTTCATTTTACTCTTCTGTCAACTTTCTATAGATTTAAAATTTTTCAAAACCAAAAGAAAATAATTCAGTTTCAGAATTGCTGTTTACAACATCCCAAAGGACCCATGACAGGTGCCAATTGTGCAGCCTCCTTTCAGATGTGATTATTGTTAAGTGCCTACATTGGTTGAGTTGCTTGGGTCCTTCATCCTTCAAGTGAAGACTCATCTCCCCCCCCCTACTTTTCACGCGCCCTCTCTCTCTCCCCCCTCCCTCCCCACCGCCCACCTCCTGCCCTATCTCATTCTAAGGCTGCCCTGAACATATTGGTCCTGCGCTACCCACTGACCTATGGAGAGAAAGGCACCCTATGGACTGCCATCCACACAGAGTGGGTGCAGATGATGGGCTATGTCAATTTCTTTGTGGTGAATATACTCCCCTGAGGTGGCTTTAAAACATAGTCAGAAAATTCTTTAGCACTTGTCCCATTAAGAGATGGGGTCTATGTCCTGTCTCCTTGAAGATGGACTCTGCAACTGCTTAACCAATAGAATATGGTGGAAATAACACTATACCAGTTTCCAGATCCAGGCCTTAAAAAACTAGCATCTGCCATTTCCTAGCTCTTTTGAGATACTTGCTCTTGGAACCCAGCCACCATGCTATAAGGAAGCCCAAGCCACCCTATGGAGAGGCACATGTGGAGAGAAGCAGCATACAGCACCAACTTGAAAGCCATGTGAGTGAGCCATCTTGGAAGTGGATCCTCCAGTCCCAGCTGATGCTATGTGGGGCAGAGACGAGCTGTCCTTGCTGAGCTTTGCCCATTTTGCAGATTCATGAGCAAACTACACAATTGCTGTTGTTTTAAGTCAGTAACTTTTGGAGTGGTTTGTTTGCAATGATACATAACTGATGCATCCCCTGCCCCCCTAAACTGGAGGCCCCAAGCTTGAAAGGCAGGGAGTGGGCCAGCTCTTTATTCCTGAGCTAGGACCTAGGTCAGCACTTATTCTTTCAACAAGTATTTATTGAATGGCCACCAAATGCTAGACACTACACCAGGGGCTGAGGAGTTAGCAGTGAATGAGATAGACCCACCCTGCCTGGTGGTCACAACTCAGGCACAGTAATGAGAGGACTGTAGCCTCAGCCTGAGAAAGGGGGAGGGAGAACTGTCTTCTCTGAGGAGGTTATTTCTAAGCTGAGACCTGACTCGGGAAAAGGAGTTAGCCATGCAAAGAAGCGGGGAAAGGGCAGATGGAACACCATGTGCTAGTTCCGGGTAAGGTTGCCAGATTTGGCAAATAAAAAATAAAAATTTAACACCCAGTTAAATTTGAACTTCAGATAAACAATGAATACTTTTTTAGTATATACATATGTCCCATGCAATAGTGTGAACATACTTATACTAAAATGTTATTCATTATTTATCTGAAACTCAAGTTTAACTGGGAGTCCTGCATTTTATCTGGCAACTCTAGTTCTAGGGCAAAAAAGAGAGAAAAACTCGTGATTTCAAGGGACAGTTCAAGAAGTTGGATGAAGCACAGTGGCAAACAGGGCATGGTATGAGAAAAAGGTGAGCAGGAGCAAGCTTGCCAGGGTCCATTTTGAATTTCACCCTGAAGCAATGGGGAGCCACGGGAGGGTTTAGAGAAGGGGAGGGACACAATGAGATTTGTGTTTCATAACACAAATATTATATTTGGGCTACCATATGGAGGGGGCATAGGGAGGCTGTAGGCAGGGAAACCAGGAGGAGTCCCTTGCCCTGCAATGCTCATGCTCCACACTATAACCACAAGGCCATGCGAATGTTGAATGTGATTCCCACTTTACATTTTTATTTTCTACAATATGTGTTTTAAGCTATAAATTTCCCTCTAACCACTGCTTTAGTATATCCAACAAGTTTTGATATGTTTAGTCTTTATTATCATTCCATTCAGAATGTTTTCTAATTTCCCTTGAAATGTCTCCTTTGACCTATGGGTTCTTTAGATGTGTGTTGTATAATTTCCAAATATTTGAGATTTTTCTATCTGGTTGTTGTTGATTTCAATTTCCCTCCATTGTGGTCAGAGAACATACTCTGTACATTCTTTAAGTTTTATTAATACTGTTTGCAGGGCGAACATATGATCTATCATGGTGAAGGTACTATGTTTGCTGGAAAAGAAGGTGAGTGCTACAGCTGTTGAGTTTAGTGCCTATGAATGTCAGTTACAGTCAAGGTAGCTGACAGTGTTCTTCTGCTCTCCATGTGTCTCCTCATTATTTAGTCCAGCCATTCGATCCACTGATGGGCATGGGGTGTAACAATCTTCAGTGACTATTATAGATTAGTCTAGTTCTCCCCTTTTTTGTCAGTTTTTTCCTTCAACTATTTTGAAGCTTTGTTACTAGATAAATACACATGTATGATAATTATGAATTCCTGATGAACGGGCCCTTTTATCCATATGGATTTCCCTCTTTAGCTTGGGTAACGCCCATTCTCTAGAAGTCTACCTTATCTGATATTAATATAGCCATTGCAGCTTTCTTATGCCCATTGTTAGCTTGGTATATCTTTATCTATCCATTTACTTTCATCTTATTTATGTCTTTATATTTAAAATGAGTGTTAGTATAGACAGCATATAGTTTAGTCTTGCTTTTTTAATTCACTTGAGAATCTCTGCCCTTTACTTGGCATTTTAGTATATTTACATCTAATTATTACACAAATTATTGATATGGTTGATTTAGTTCTAGGATTTTACTATTTGCTTTCTGTTTTCCCATTTTGTGCCTTTGTTCCTGTTTTGGTTTTAGAGGAGGAATACAACGTTTTGGCTGTTCTGATCCATTTACCAGATAACGTGGACGATTGCTAATTTTGAGTAATTTCTAGAACAAGAATGAACTCTGCTGCAGGTCTAGGCTGCAGTATGAGTAGTCTTGCCACTTGAGCCAAATGATCAGGCAGATCCCGTCATAGAGAAGGATGTGGGGAGCCTTGGGCAAATCCCAACAGGAATGTAGCAGGAAAGACCATTAGGTCTGGTTAAGAGCAGGCCATCTAGGGCCGGCTCCGTGGCTTAGCGGTTAAGTGCGCGCGCTCTGATGCTGGCGGCTCGGGTTCGGATCCCGGGCGCGCCCCGAGGCACCAC